AAACAGGTCCTCTGCACTCTTAACCACTGAACCACCTCTCCAGGCTCACTTTGACCTAAATTTTAAATTGAATTATTTGGGATATTTTGTTGTTTTCTTTGCTTGCTTGCTTTTCAACAGGTAAAAACCATTCAGAGTACATCTACACTAAAAAGACAGTCATTAGGTGATGGGAGATGTCTTTATGTAAATATGTTTCTCTTATTAATGAATAAAACACCGTTGGCCAATAGGAAAGGAAGATAGGAAAGACTACCAGACAAGGAGAAAAGAGGAAGGAGTAAGGAGTCAACATGGAGAGACTGGAGAGAGCAGGACCACCGGCCCCCTCTCTCCGGTTAAGATGAGACCACGTGGAAATACTTAGATTAATAGAAATGGGTTAATACTTAAGACAGAGCTAGCAGATAAGAAACAAGTAACTGGCCAACAGCGTTGTATCAAATAGAGAGTCTCTGTGTGTTAATTGGGGCCGGCGCCTTGGTGGGTCCAGGCCAGCAGGAAAACCTACTCCTTACAATTAGGGGCCGAAGAAATGGCACAGCAGGTAAGAGAATATATTTCTTCCAGAGGACTCAAGTTCAGTTCTCAGCATCCACATCAAGTGACTCATAACTGTAATTCTAGCTCTCACTCACATGCACACACACATACACATAATTAAAAGTACTAAAATAGGAACTGGAGAGATAACTTAGCAATTAATTGGCCTTGATGCTCTTGCCAAGGACCTGGGTTGATGCTCTTCCCAGGACCCACATGGAGGCTTAACAAACATCTATAACTCCAGTTCCAAAGAATTCAACTCCTCTGGCCTCTGTGGGTACCTGCAGTCATATGCACATACTTATACACAGACATATACATAATTCAAAACAATAAAACTAAATTTAAAATAAAATGAAAAAAATCTTTTAAAAACTTTAATTAAAAAAAAAAAAAACATTTAAATTAGCCAGGTGGCAGTGGTGGCACAGCCTTTACTCCAAGCACTTAGGAGGCAGAGGCAGGTGATCTACATGAGTTCAAGGTCAGCCTGGTCTACAAAGCAAAATCCAAGTTAGCCAGGGCTACACAAAGAAATCCTGCCTAACAAAACCAAATAAACAAGCAAAAAATTCTTTTTAAAAAAAATAGTAATGAACTATTTGACCCCTAAAACCATAATTTGTCCTAGTCCTTTTTTTGTTTTGTTTTGTTTTTTCAAGACAGGGTTTCTCTGATTTATTTTGGAGCCTAGTCCTTCATTTTTACTAATTTTATTTTATATGTTAGTTCTTTTCCTGCAGGTACATCTATGCACTGTCTGTAGAAGCCAGAAAAGGAAGCCAGGTTCTCTGGAACTGGAGTTACAGATGGTTGTGAGCTCTCATGGTGCTGGGTGCTGGGTGCTGGGAATTGAACCCAGGTCCTCTTCCATGTCTCCAGTCATCCTAATTCCTCGTTTTAAAAAAAATTACATTTACATATCTTATGTATGTGTGTGTTTGTGCTCATATGTGCAGGCCAGAGGACAACTTTCAGGAGTTGGTTCTCTCCTTCCCACATGGGGGTCCTGGGGGTTGAACTCAAGTCCTCAGGTTTGGCAGCAAGTGTTCTTTTCCTCTGGCCAGCCCTCATCAGTTTACATTTGGGGAAAACCAGAGAGCAACACTGACTGCTCTAGGTCTACTGACTCTCATGCCATTACAGTGGTCTCTATAGCTCTTTCTTCATTCCTTCGACCAATATTTATTAAGAGCCTACTATGTGCCAGTCACCAGGACTACCTCTGAAGTGAGTTGATCAACCAGATCTGCTTCTCAGAGGTAGAAGCATAGAAAGACTAAGGCTTGAGGCAATAACAACACAACTGAATACTAATTGTGACGTAATATAATGTGCTGAAAAGGAGGGCAGCCAGTTGCTATGAAAGAGAGTACCTTGCAAAGCCTGGGGTGCAGCTCAGTACAACACTTGCCTAGCAAGGTCCTGGATTCATATCCAGCATGGGGTTGAGGAAATACGCAAAACCTCACTGAAGGGGACAATTAAACTGAGTTGGATTTTTTTTTTAATATTATGTGTATACATGGGTGTACATATGCACAGGAAGGCAGATGTCTGCAGAGGTTATCAGCTACAGATGTCCCAAACTCAAATCTTCTGGAAGAGCAGTGTATGCCTTCTTGACCACTGAGCCATCGCTTCACCCCTGTTGTTTTTATATGGGTCTCTGTATTGGTTAGGGTATTTCTGTTTTTTGGAGTGCTTTTTTTGGTTTGTTTTGTTTTGAAGTTTTTGTTTTGTTTTGTTTTTTGGTCAACCTGAAAAAAATTAGAGACAGCAGAGAAGAGGAAACCTCAAATGAGAATTATATTGACCTGTAGGTAAGCCTGTTGGTCATTTTCTTGATTGACCACTGATGTAGAAGAGCCCAGCCCACTGTGGGAGGTGCCATCCTTAGGCAGGTGATCCTGGGTTATATAATAAAGCAAACTGAGCAAGCCAGTAAGTGATATTCCTATGATCTCTGCTTAAGTTCCTATCCTCACTTCCCTCAGCAATGTAATGTTACCTGGAAGACCAAGATAAAATAGACCCTTTCCTCCCCAGATTGCTTCTGGCCATGACGAATATCAAAAAAATAAATAGCAAAGTAAGCCAGTCTCTGACCCAGACTAATCTCAAACTAGCTATTTAGCTAAGGATGACACTGAACTTTTGATCTTCCTGCCTCCACCTCCCAAATGTGGAGATTACAGGTATACCACAATACCCCGTTTATGTGTTGCTAAGGACTAAACCCAGGGCTTCATGCATGCTTGGCAAAGAGTCTCCCAAATGCTACACTGAGTTCTGAAGGATAAGTAAAAGCAAGATGGATTAACAATCTGATATGGTGGCACATCTTTAATCCAGCACTCAGAAGACAGAGGCAGGTGGATCTCTGTGACTTCAAGGCTGTCCTGGTCTACAGAGTAAGTTCCTGGACACCCAGGGCTATGTAGAGAAACTTATCTCCAAAAAAACAAACTAACAAAAATTAACAAACAGGAAGGAAGAGCATCACTGGTGTGTGTGTGTGTGTGTGTGTGTGTGTGTGTGTGAGAGAGAGAGAGAGAGAGAGAGAGAGAGAGAGAGAGAGAGAGAGAGAGATGAATTGTATTGACTGTTATGTGGTTCTGTTTTATTATTGTTTTTGAGACAATGTCTCCCTATGTAGACCAGTCTGGCCTTGAATTGCAAATCCTCTCACCCTGGGATTACAGGGTTTTAAGGAAGTATTAGGATCATTTAATTTTCTGTGAGGAGAATGGATCAGAGAGGTATGACAGATTACAGAAGAATGGACTGGCAGCAGAGAAGTGGGCTAGACTGATGATGGTGAACAAGTTTGAGAACCCTTGGAAGGCTAAATAATTAGGATCCAGTAATGGAAAATAGGAAAAGGAGGCATCAAAAGTAATTCAGCCTTGGCTAGGTAGTGGTGGCACACACATCTTTGATCTCAGCATTCAGAAGGCAGAGGCAGGCAGATCTCTGTGAGATCCAGACCAGCCTGGTCTACAGAGTTTCAGAACAGCCAGGACAACACAGAGAAACCCTGGCTCAAAAATGAATGAATGAATGAATGAATAAATAAAACAATAAAAAGGGAGTAATTCAAGAGTGGCTGGGGTTAGGAGCATAGGTCAGTGGTATAGCATTACCTAACAGGTAAAAGAATATGCGTTTAAGCTGGGCGGTGGTGGCACACACCTTAAATCCCAGCACCCAGGAGGCAGAGGCAGGCGGATCTCGGTGAATTCAAGGCCAGCTTGGTCTACAGAGCTAGTTCCAGGACAGCCTTCAAAACCACAGAGAATCCGTCTCGAAAAACAAAACAGAATATGTTTAATTCTCAGCAATGTAAAATAAGTATTACTTTTTGTCCGACGAACTTCCTGCCTATACTGTTAAGATCACCACGGCAGTCCAGGAGTTAAGTAACAGAAACCTTAAGTACATCTCGATCTGTCTCACTCCGGGCACCAGCACTTACAATAAGTGGAACTCCACACCACTGCTTTGACCTTCTGACCCTCTAGTTGTTAAACCCGCTAAATAGCGCACGATGAGAGGAGCAACACTGGAGAATCTGATACTTAAAAAGCGGAAAAGAAAACCGAGCTCTCTGGGTACTAGGTTTCAACGCCAAATCCAAGGAGAGGCTGAGGAGGGAGTGAAGAGCTAACTTTTTTTCCCTCCCAGGATCAACCTGAAATTAAAACGAAACACCTCCACAGAGGTAAGACTGCTGCTGCGCAGGCGCAACAAAGCAGGCCCGGCTCTCAGGTTCGAACCGGCGCGCACACACTGTGGCCTCAGGACAGCGCAGTCACACAGTTCCGAGTCCTCAGTGCCTCCCTCCCTAACGAGGTCCTTAAGCCTTTCAGGAAAAGCCCCGAGGCCCCCCTTTTTTAAGCATCAGGCTGGTACTGGTTCCCGGTCCGGTACAGGGCGGAGCCTAGAGCCGGGACCAGGCGCGGGCCAGGCTCGAGGACCGAAGAGCCGCCATGCCTCTCAGGTTCTCACCTCTTTGTCTGCCGCTTTCTCCTCAATGCCAAGCAGCGCGTATAGATCCATTTGTAAGAGCTCTTTAGTCACCGCCATGGTTCTGGCCCTGACCGAATTGATACTACAATTCCCAGGAGTCTGAGCGCGCGCAGGTAGGAGGTACTGGTTTGGAGCCGGCCCAACAGCGCTAAGCCTCCTGGGAATCGGCGTGATCCAGTTCGGGTTTGACTGACTGTGGATGAGCGCGTCGCGGAAAATGAACTACGACTCCCAGCATCCTACACTCCGCCGCCGCCCGCGCGGTGGTAAGCGGAGAGAGTCAGAATTCCCGGCGCTGGGCGCGGTGGTGAACGGAGAGAGTCAGAATTCCCGGCGCTGGGCGCGGTGGTGAACGGAGAGAGTTAGAATTCCCGGCGCTGGGCGGCAGATGGATGGCGCGTGTAAGGCTGGGTGCATAGGCTGAGGGTCTGAGCGGCCTGTGCTGCGTTGGTGAGAGGCTATCCTACGGATCTGCGGTGCTGAGAGACACCATGGAGAGCAGGTGCTACAGCTGTGCTGTCAAGTTCACCCTCTTCAAGAAGGAGGCGAGTGTTCTAGAGAGCTGGAGGACCAAGGGAGGACGCGGGGCCAAGGGAAGAGCACAGAACTTACAGGCCAAAGACTTAGTTTGATGCTTCTTTCTAGTGGTGTAGTTTTGACGAAATAACTCATTTAACATTTCTGTAAAGTGGGGCGAATGCCCATTCGCTTTCGAGGTTAAAATGATGAGGTCCAGTAAGATGGCTTTGCAGGTAAATGCACTAGCTGCTAAGCCTGATGACCTCAGTTCGAACCCCAGGAAGGAGAGATCTCCAAGTTATTCTCTGATCCCCCTCATACGTGCCATAGCATGCACACACACTCACAAAGAGATAATGTAAAATTAAAATAAAAACTGTCAGGGGGTTTGGTGAGGTATGGAACTGAAAGTACCCTATAAATTATAAAGTTTCCAAAAGCTACGCTTTTTGTTTTTCCTTCTTCTTTTTTACCATCAAATGGAGCATCTACCTCCTGCTTTCTCTCTGCTCTTCTTTTCTCCATCTCAGGCTTTAATATGCTATGACCTCTGTACACCACACCATGCCCGTTACAGGTTGGATTACAAAGCTTCCTCTTTCTACGGGGCACAGTGGAAAGGCTTTCTTGTTCATGACACATGCTTACCAGGTTCTCCGTGCAAGCTTCCAGGGAGATAGTGGGGAATAAATGGGATGAGTTCATAGTGTGCAGGGCTGGAGCACTTCAGGAGTGTGCATTTGGAACCAGGGTTTAAATTCCAGTTGCCCTGTTAGAATAGAGGTACTAATGGTGGGCATTAGGATCAAATATGATACTGTGTGTAAACTATGATGGTTAGACCAGATGATGAATTTTAAGGTTCAAGCTGTATGCCTGGTAAACACTAAGTACTTAATTTAGTAACTGAAGCTATTGTTACCACTCTGTCCTGAGCAGAACCTCCCACCATCTTGCCTAAGCAGAGAAAGCATGATATCTATACTCTGTCTGATTCTCTTTTGTTGGCTAGCCAGTGACCTGACCCACAGAGCTTTGTTTGTCTTTGTTCTTCGTTTCAATGGTAAGAAAGTGAAAATGGTAGAAAGCACGTGAGTTTTGCCTGAAATTTTTATCTGATTGACAAGACTCTGGGAACCAAAGACTTGCTGTGCCCTCTACCCCATCTCTCCCTGGACCCTAAGGATCCCACTCCTCTTCCGTCCTCCAACATCTGGTCACAACTTTAATTTCTTATTTCTGTGAGCGCTTAGAGAAGCGCCAACAGGGGTGAGTGAGAGACAGATCCTCCTGCTTCGTGTTTCTTGTAGTACGGCTGTAAGAACTGTGGCCGGGCCTTCTGTAATGGCTGTCTTAGCTTCAGTGCTCCGGTACCTCGGGCTGGCAACACTCAACAGAAGGTCTGCAAACAATGCCACACCGTCCTGACCAGGTGAGAGATGGGCACGGGCAGAGGGTCAGACAGACATGAGAGCAAGCATATGACCAGGCCTTGTGGCTTGTGTTTCCTGGCCAGAGGTCTGCCTAGGAAGTATTTGGGACAGGAATCACTGATGGGTGGGATGATGGGACTTCTTACAACAAATTCCTTCTCCAGAGGGCCTGCTGATAACACCTCCAAGTGGTCGCCACCTCAGAAGTAAGTACTGAAAAGAAGACGCGTGGGAACAACAAAGGACAAGGACTCCAGTACAGGGCTCTCCTTCCAGTCTCCAGATCAAATGGGTGCAGGGTGAAAAGAATGCCCGCCTTCAGGCTCCTGCTTCCCTCTTAGAGTCTGAAAGCAGCTCTTTCCCTGTCAGGCATACCTTACAGCTGGTCAGCTGGGTTGGGCTGCAGTACCACATAAATAAGAGACCACAGAAGACTGACTGCCTGTAGAGGCCCCAGTTGATTTGGATGGGTGCTTTCAGTCTTCCCCTTTGCCTCAAGAGTGTCTGCCTCGTATCCTGCCAGGCATGTAGCAGCCTTGGAAGCCAAGAAGAAGCCCAGCACTTCCCAGAGCCAGGGCCTGACCCAAAAAGACCAAGCCATCGCTGATCGCCTAGCACGGCTCCGTCAGGAAAACAATCCCAGTGAGTTCAAGTGGGCACGGGGACCTTAAGACAGGGTGCAGGGCTTGGGACTGAGCTGCCTCCAGCCCTTCCAAACACTCTGCTTGCCAATTGCAGAGTCAGTACCCTCACAAGCAGAGATAGATGCACGGCTAGCTGCACTGAAGGGTGAAGTCCAGGGCGCCGTCCCTTCCACACAGGAGATAGAGAATCGGCTTGCAGCATTACAGGGCAGAGTGCCACCTTCTCACACGATGAGACCGGTGAGTGTTGTGGCTTGGGAGAGAAGGGTTTTCTAGGGCAAGCACCCTACAGAAGCCCAGATACATGTATGATTGTGTGCTTTGCAGGAGTTAGTAAAGCCTCCCACCCCCACCTCCTGAGCCTTAGGCCTGCTCTCAAGACAAGTGCCAAGCAGCAGGACTGAGTGCGTCAGCAAAGAGTGGATACTCAGTCCTGTTGAGAGCTGCCAGCCTATTCACCTATGTGGGCCTTGACTTCATCCCTTTCCATGGGCTTTGAAAACTCTTCAGCATCCACCCCTGACTCACACCTCTTCTGGACTTCTGGTGTGGCCTTCCCCATACCGCTATTCCCCACTGAGGTTCCCTCCTCTGCACAGGCACACCAGGCACCAGATACCAGGACCCAGGCTCAGCAGGTGCAGGATCTGCTAACACAGCTGGCAGCTGAGGTGGCTATTGATAAAAGCTGGGAACAAAGAGGCCCAGGTAACCTGTCCACTTGGCTTCTCCATGGTCATGCCCTGCCTCATCTGCCCACCCTCTTGGGAGGTGAATATGAGTCAGAGAATGGTCAACACTGAAGAGCTTCTGTGTACTGAGTGCTTACTCCAAAGGGAGCCAACATAGGCCTCTTGCACTGACTCTAGAATCAGATGGGGAATTCCAGTCCCACAACCCTACATGTGTTCCTTCACCTGTCTAAACCTCTAATCTGTAAACTCAAGTAATGTGTGGTAAACCTGTCATGTGGGGGAAGTCATGAGGAATAAATGGAATAACACAGTAGGTGCTTGGGATGCCCAGCTCATAGTGAAGACTGAGCGAGTATTGTCTGCAATGAAGAACTGATAATGCGTAAGAGGCTTAAATTAGAAGAGTTAAGGTTCCCTTGCCATCTATTGCCAGCCACATTTCAACTATTGGCTCTCCATGTGAGCTTGCAGCAAATACCACAGACAGCATGAATGTAGGACATGTTGTGGCATGTTCCCAACATGACAGGAGGTTCTGGGACAGTGGTATATGAAGGCTCCAGAGCAGTATCCCAACTAGGAGGACTTTTGCCTTTAGGGCACTTTTGGAAATGTTTAAGGACATTTTTGTTATCACTACTACTGGCATCTGGTAGGTGAAAGACAGGAATACTGCTGGGCACCCTATTGGGCAGTTGCCAGCTCCTCACTGCCTAAAAGAGAATTGTCAGAGGAACTGAGATTGATAAACTGCTTTATAGACACAGTCTCAGTGCGTGCCCTCGCTGATCTCACGGAGGACTGTCGCCCTTATGTATTACTGAGGAAACAGGCTTTGGTAAGCTCAGGGACTTGGCCATAGGCACACAGCCCTTAACTGGCAGGGATGAGCCTTCTACATACCACTGTTTTTGTTTTATTTTGTGAGACATGGCCTCGTGTAGCCCTCATGTAGCTGGCCTCAAACTTACCGTGACCGTGAACTCCTGATCTCCCTACTGGCGCCTCCCAACGGCTATCATTACAGGAGTGCACTGTCATGGCCAACGTGGTTTTAAAGCTCCTGTTCTGAAACTCTAGACTCCAGGTGGTCATGTCAGAGCCAAATCCACTCTGGTAAAATTTCTTCTTGCCCATTATCTAAGACTGCTTCTTCCTTCAGGGTCTCTCACTCTGCTCCCAGAAAATGCTAACTTGAGCCCTGAAAGACAGACCAGCTAAACCTTAGCCTCCCGTATCCTGATCCTTAGGGCAGTGATTCTCAAGCCATAGGATAACCACCCTACATTAACTAGGTGGGTGGAGGTTGATGCATTTGAAAAAGACACAACTAAAATTACTAGTTTTGCCAGGCATCATGGTACACACCTGTAATCCTAGGAATTGTGAGGCAGAGGCAGGAAGATCAAGAGTTTCAGGCCAGCCTGGACTTTATAGGAAACCCTCATCTTTAGTAATAAAAAAAAAAAAAAAAAAAAAAGAAAGAAAGCAACAAAAGCCCAAAATTATTTTATATTTGGAAAAATGCAAAAATGTAAACCTAGTACTGATTTAAAAATTGGTAACACATGGTTAAAAAATAGCTGAGAAATGGGTTCTGGAGTGAGATCTTGACATTCTTCTGTCTTCCTAACTGTCCTAACCCTTCCAGTGGCCTCCCTCCAGAATGACCTCAACAAGGCAGGTACAAGTTCCCAGGGGCCAGCCAGCCTATCCCTGGAGGAGGAGAAGAGCAGGCTGTTGGCCGAGGCAGCAGTTGAGCTACAGGAGAAGACCAGGCAGGAATGGGTCCTGGCTCTCGCCAAAAGATTGGCTGTACTTCAGGGACAGGACCCCAACAGAGATAAAGGCTCCAGCCAGCCTCCTTATTCAGGCCCCCTGGCCAAGGCCTACTGCCACCTCAGACTACGCTTTGCTTGCCAGTGCTAAAGCGGGTACTGAGAGTCCCTGTGCCAAAGGCTCTGTCTCCCCCAGAGCCATGAGATTTGATGGGGCAGAGTAGAGAATGAGGCCTGAGGAACGGGACCTTCAGACTGCCCTCCACTCTCGGGGCTGATGGCCCAGCGTTGCAGGGCTAGGGGAGGGAGGCACAGCAGCTTGATTCTCAGCTCTGAATAGGTGCCCCCAGGGACCAATAGTTCTCCTCACTCCTCCCTTTGTTCCTGTCCCCCCATTCAAGTGGCCCTGCAGGACTGTCACATTCCAGACAGTGCTGAGGAGGAGGATGAAGAGACAGCCATCCAGAGAGTGCTGCAGCAGGTAGCCTTGTCACCCACCCTGTCACTGTGTTCTGCCTCTGCCTCCTTGTTGCACCAGCTGTCTGTTCTCATTCGCTGGTCTTCAGGGCCAGTGGTTATTTCACAGCTCCAATTTTAGTGGAGGCCCATATTTCCTATCTCAAGAAATCAAGAAGAAACAGCAGGAGGTAAAGGGTAAAGAGCTGGGAAGTTAGGCCACAAAACCCAGAAGTGCTAGGAGGGGAGCCTGGACCTAGATAGAGCAAGAAGTAGTTCTCTTCTTCCCTGTTCACAGCTCACTGAAGAAGCTGCCCTGGATGAGGCAAGTGGCTGTAACATCCCTGTGGAACCAGCTCCCCGGCCCCGGGCCCAACCCTACGGGGCAGAGACTGAGGTGAGCAGAGCCCGGCACGGCACCCCACACTTGCCACAGCCTTGCTCCTGGCTCACTGCTCCATCTGCACTTGCCTCCCCCATTCCTCCTTCCCTGAAGACCCAGGCCGAGGAAGAAGAGCTCCCCTGGTGCTGTATCTGCAATAAGGATGCTGTCTTGCGCTGTGCTGGCTGCGATGGAGACCTCTACTGTGCCCGGTGCTTCCGGTGAGTGCGGGTAGAACATTCTGAGGCTAGGTTGATCTTGGCTTGAGGGCTGCCAAATTGCTGCCATTCATCCCTTTGCTTCGCAGGGAGGGCCACAATAACTTTGATCTTAAAGAGCATCAGACTTCTGCGTACCACCCCCAACCTGGCCGAGAACACTGAGGAAAACCCTCCTGAGGGCCACAGGCAGCCAGCAGGGCCCAGTGCCAGGGCGTCCAGTCTACCGATGGTAAACACACTCTTTTTTGAGCTTCACGGTCCCTGTAAGGAAGAAAGGGTCTATTGAAGATAACTCTTAGAGGAGCCAGAGGCAAGGAGGAGTAACAGCCCCTTCCAGGAGGCTGACCTGAAACTGAGAGACAGCAGGGGAAGACCAGACTGAACCTAAGCATGAGTCCTGGCCTACAGTGGAGCTAATAAAAGATGTTGTTGATAAATTATTCTAATTTACAATGTAAAGTAAGTAAATAAATAAAATACATTGCTGAGTCATTGGCCTCAGAATTTTTTGTCTGTACTGGGGAATTGAACCCAGGGCCTTGCATATGCTGGACAAGGATTCTGCTACTGAGCTATATCCCTAGCTCCAGACCCTTTTTATGTGTGAGCTTGATTCTGGCAGTACTGGGAATTGAACCCACATCTCATACATGCTACGTGTGTGCTTTGCCACTGACCTATACCTCCAGGCACCCAATGCCATCTATATTCAGAACCCTGTGGCCTCTGAGCCTGAGGCCTGTGAGAGGTGCTAAGAACACAGTAGGCTAGAAGCAGAGTGCTGTGGAACTCATGAAAAGGTTCCCAGTAGGAGCATTCCCACCATCCTGGTGGCCTCATACCAACTAAGTGTGAAAACTCATCTTAGTGAATTGTACCTTCTACTCAGGACAGTTCCGCTTAGACCCTTCCATGTTGGATATCTGCCTATCTAGTACTTTAAACAATGGATGTAGGAACACTTCATACATACCCCGCTTCCTGCCTTACAGAGGACTTACCTCCTGGCTCCTGTCCCATCTTGCCTACTTCAAAGACCTAATATCTGTCTTCCAACAACTTGGCCCAACCCCTGGCACTCCCTTTCACTCTACATATCCTCTGTCTTTTCCTTCTTTTCCACAATTCACTGAGGGCAGAGACCGATACGGGCAGCCAATCAAAGATTAATAGAGTACCATGTAGACACCCCTGCTACACTGAGTTGAAGAGGGGTCAGCCTCCTTGAATGCTCCAGACACAGTGAAGAGTTTCCTGTTGCTCCTCGGTGAAATTCAAAGCTTATCTCTACCAGGTGGGCCCCTCTTGTTGGTGATGCCCCGGTGCCGTGTGCTTTAGCCACATGGTCTCTTGGCCTCACTATTCCAGGCTCTTCAAAGCCAGGCTATGATCTCCATCTTTGAATTCCCAACACCAGTTGGCATGGGGGTGGGGATGAGGTGGTGGGTAGATGGATAGATGGTGTGGGCACAGCCAAGGGACTTAGGATGTTGGTGTTCCAAATACCACTTCCCCTCTCCTACCCCACCCCCCCCCCAGCATAGACACACCACACCTCACACACTTTGCTGGTTTCCTCCTAAAGTTTTTATCCTGGCTGCCAAGGGAAGTATTAGGCAACAGCCACAACTGCCTTGCAGAGAGCCCAGCAGAGAGAGTCCAGCAGTAGCTGCACACACACTTGGGCTGTGTCTTCTTGTCGTCTGCATCCCTTGTCTGTATTGAAGACCTTTCAGCCAGTATCCAGGACAGAGCTAAGGCTACAGAAGATGGCCTCTCCGGTGTTATTTTGAAGGCCTGCTGAGTCTTCGAAGCCTCTTGAGTTGACTGAGCAGCTCAGAGATGAAAGGCTGAGGGAGAAAAAACAGTGAGATGAGACAGGAAATCACAGTCACTATGCTGCCCTCCTTACTCTATCTTCAAGTGTTTCCAGAGCAAGAAAAGGAAAGATTTACCTAGGGCCAAGCTTTCCTTTCAAATGCTCCTCTATTCATCCTAGCCTCCCCCATTAGGTCATCTCCCACTGAAGAAGCAGAATATGCCTTACCTCTCTGTCACAGGGGCAGTCTTGGAGAATGGCCTGGGTGAGAGAGAGCCAGGTAAACTGAGATGTACACCTTCCCCCACAAGTGCCCATCAGTCTCCCAAGATCCCGCCCGTAACTTGTTCTTTGCAGCTGGAAGTTAGCTCAGGTGGTTAGGGTGGTGCTGTGAGTTGGTGTTCGTGACACCCAGGGAAGCAAGCCCTAGGTTCCCAGTCCAACTTCCAGTCCCCAGCTTCCCATCCTACCTCCAACTGAGTCCTCTGGTCCTCTGAGGATAGTTCCATGAGAGCTTCCAGATCAATCTCGGGCTCAGGAGCTTCTCTACCCTGGTTGAGCGTAACAGAGAGATCTGACCACCTGTTGCTCAAATGGCAGTTACTGTCAATCTCTACCTTCTCTACCTTCATCTGCTCATTTCCATATTGATTCCCCTCCTCCGCTTACTCAAAATGCCCACTGATTATTCTATCCAATAAACACTTAATTAAACACCTACTATGTTCTACACAAAAGTGTGAAGAGTTACTCAGGAAGAGCATCTTCACCTGTACCTGTACTTAGGTGAAGGGAAGCAAATCATGAGCTTCAGAGCAACCTAGACTTCGGAGTGAGACCTTGTCTCAGAAAGGAGTGGAAATGGCTCTGGGGAGATAGACTCAGCAGACAAAAGCACTAGCTGTTCTTCCAGAGAACCTGAATTAGATTCCCAGCACCCACACAGAAGCTCAACTGTCCTCAACTCTAGGGTTTCCTGTACTTTTTCTGCACTCCCTTGAATACCAGGCATGCATTTGGAGAACAGATATACATGCAGGCAAAACATCTATACACATAAAGTAATAAGATACTTGCTGAGTGTGGTGGTGAACAACTTTAATTCCAGCACTAGGGAGGCAAAGGCAAGTGGATCTCTGAGTGTTCAAGTCCTGCTATTCTAGGATAGCCAGAGCTATGTAGAAAGGCCAGTCTCAAAAAAAGTGGTAGTGGCACATGCCTTTAATCCCAGCACCTGTCAGGCAGATCTCTGTGAGTTTGATGACAGCCTGGTCTACAGAGTGAGTTCCAGGACAGCCAGGACTACAAAGAGAAACCCTGTCTCGTGGGTGTGGTGGTGCATGCCTGAAATCCCAGATGCTGGGAGGTAGAGGCAGAGGATCAAGAGTTCAAGAAAACCCTTGGCTATATGGCCACTTCAATGCCAGTCTAGGCCACATAAGATCCTACCTAAAGGGCAGGGGAGAGCCAGAGACATGGCTAAAAGCACTGGCTGCTCTTCCAAAGGATTCAGATTCGATTTTCAGGACTTTCACAGTGGAGGCAGAAAACTACCTCCCACAAGTTGTCCTATGACCTCTATGTGTGCAACTCAGATGTGTGCATACATACAAATAAATACATGTTATTTGAAAATTAGAACAGGCCTGGGGCATGGCAGTGAGTGTTTTAATCCCAGAATGGGAAGGTAGAGACAGGTGGATCTGTGAAACTTGATGCTAGCCAGCCTAGCTTACCTACATGTGAGTTTCAAGCCAATGAAAGACTCTCTTTTGGGGAGGAAAAATGCCCAGTGTGATGGCTCAGACCTTTAATCCCAGTGTTCAGGAGGCAGAGACAAGCAGATCCCTGAGAGTTCAAAGCCAGCTTGATCTACACAGTTCCAGACCAACTACAGTTGTATAGTGGAACTTGTCTCAAAAGACAACAAAAGGAGTCCTTCTAGATAGCCCAAGATGACCTCTAATTTGCTGTCCTTCTGCCTCAGCCTCCTGAGTACTGGGATTATAGGTGTATGCCACCATACCTAGCTGCGTATTTTATAATCATCATTAAAAAAAAATGTGTGTGTGAATGTGTGTGTGTGTGTGTGTGTGTGTGTGTGTGTGTGTTTGCGCGTGTGGGGTCAGAGGGCAGCTAGTAGACTTGGTTCTCTCCTTCTGTCATAGTAGCCAGTCTTGCACAGCAAGCATCTGAGCCCTTCGCCAGCCCCCATCTGTACTTTTCTTTAGTGGTTTCAAAGTTTCTACTTTTCCATTTGACAATTTTATTATCTGACTTTCTTCAAGCATGTGTCCAGCAGCTGCTGTGAACTTGGCACCATGAACTTGGGAACCTCAGTGAACAAAGGTCTTGTCTTCACACGGTCTCCATATTATTGGCAGTTGATGAATCACAGCATAAACAGATAAGAGGCCAGACCAAATGGCATACCAGTGTAATCTTAAGCACTTACAAAGCTGAGACAGGCTGCTGTGAGTACAAGGTCAGCCTGAATTATATAGAGAATATAAGACCCACCAGGGCTACATAGCAAGACCATGTCTCGAAACAAAAGGAAAACTGGAACAACAGCAGCAACAAAACCAGATACAATAGCAATTAAGTTATATAATTTGTTTAAATTATGTTAAATGAAATACATAAAAAATGATATCAATTAGCCGGGCATTGGTGGCACATGCCTTTAATCTCAGCACTCAGGAGGCAAAAGCATATGGATCTCTGTGAGTTTGAGGCCTGCCTGGCCTACACAGTGAGTTCCAGGACAGGCTCCAAAGCAACATAGGGAAACCCTGTCTCAAAAAACAAACAAGCAAACAAAAAATGATATCAGTTAAATTACATAATTTGTCGATAGGTAAATGTTACTCAGGGAACTTCTTGTGTGATGGAAATATTTCTTACCTTGGTGATTTGACATTTTATAAAGGGAGAAATATACCTTTTTTGTTTTGTTTTGATTTGTTTGTTTTCCAGGGCAGGATTTCTCTGTGTAACAGCCCTAGCCATCCTGTAACTAGCTCTGCTGGCTTCGAACTCACAGAGATCTACCGGCCTCTGCCTCTCAAGAGCTGGTGTTAAAGGCATGTGCCACCACCATCTGGCCCCTCTGTATTTTTATACACACACTGCAAAAAGGCACATTTCACTCTTTGTCAGTTTATATTCAATAAAGCTGACTTCAAAAATTACAAATAAGACAAATCAAATTATGCAGCAAAAAGGAAAAGAACCCTCATCTACCTTCCTACTCCTTTCACTAACCGGTAACCCTGATAACACTTGGGGACTTCTGTGCTTTGTAAAAATCAGTATTACTTGAGTTCTCCCCTTTTCCCTGAGCTCTAGGACCCCTTCACTTCTTTTATCTATAGCTCAACTCACTCAGCACTCACACTTTATGCCTGCTTATTAAAGGCATGTTGTATATCAAAGATGACAGTGAGCCTTAGGGCTGTAATAGCAAGACAGACAGACAACATGATCCTGCCCTTGAAAAGCCAACAGACGTAAAAGAGCAGATCCAATAGATGGTGACAGACAAATGCCTTGATGAGAGACCATAGGAGTCTGTGGGAAAGGAAAGATTACCAAGCCAAGGGTCAGGAAGGTTCCTGGAAGAAGCAGCCTCTGAAATCTGGAGAGTAAAAATTAACCAGCTATTGGGTAGT